TACCATATTGAAAAATATACTATTTTTGTATGATAATTATGGGTTTTGTATTTTATTTTAATAGAAGTTGATGTTGCTTTTGCAATTATCCATCAATTTTTTAAAATTAAACACTATCTACAGATTTGCATCGAAGCGTTTCTTATGATAGTGATTTTAATCACTGTCAGATTAAATCTATACTGGACCCTACTATGCAATGTCTCCACTATGCCGCGACCCCACTGTGCTACCGTTTTATTACCCTAACTTAATCAAACAATTCTCATTTAACTATATCTCTTTTATCAATGTTGAAATTACATCTTGGTTATTTGACATAAATTACTATTAATGGCAAAACTTACAACGAAAATCTATCAAGAGATGACTACAGAGAGTTTTTGGAATTGATTTTTAGGTTGGATACCCATTGAAGGTATTAATTTTCGAAAACTCGGCGCTACATATTCGGAGGCGGCCTTGTCACAATGTCAAGGGTAGAGAGACATCCGATTGTTTTATTGATAGGTGGGCGGCTGATATCGAGAAAGACACGTGTGAGCGCCAGCCTAGAGCATAGCGTGGTGCCGTATCAACTAATACTAGATGTATTCAAATATTAAGTTTAGTTTTCTTTTTCTTTATCGTTGTTCGATTTCGAACTTGGTGATTTTCATGCAGTTATGTTATTTCGATTGGATAAAATTTTCCAAAACTCTCTATTCTCTGTATTCCGGATGCTTTCTGACATTGACATTTATGTGAGGATTTTAATTTGGTCTATATAGCGGATGGAAGACTTGCTTCTGCTCATCTTTCCTTCGACTTTTCCTTGGATAATGTCCTTTTTAATACCATCTCTTCTTATCATATGGCCAAAGTATTTTATTATTTGACTTATTAAATTATTGAATATCAATTTCATACTTAATTTAATAATTATAATTAATATTTATTCATATATTATATTTTAAAATCAAAGAACTACTAATCAGGATATAATTATAGAAATAAGAGTTGATGTTGCTTTTGGAATAATCCATCAATTTCTCAAAATTAAACACTATCTACAGATTTGCATCGAAGCGTTTCTTATGATAGTGATTTTAATCACTGTCAGATTAAATCTATACTGGACCCTACTATGCAATGTCTCCACTATGCTGCGACCCCACTGTGCTACCGTTTTTTTGTATCTGTTTATGTATATTTTTAGTTCAGAGGAATCATTAAACGATAATTTGTTTTCTATTTTAATCAAGTGGCTTATGATAAATCGATCACTCTGTATATATTTAAAATCAAAATAAATATTGTCGAATAAAAATGTAGGGAATTTTGTCATCTTTTTCATATGCTAATGCAAATTAATCTAATTCTTTAAAAACACTTTTAAATTAGTTTTTGTACAATAGTTTATTGAATTATTTTCAATTTTTACACAAAAAAAATTTTTTTTTAACCTTGATGTTCGTTTAAACTACTGTCGTAACACAGTAAAATGAAAAAAAGGTAAAAGTGCGTAAAATGTGTAGCTATGTGTACGAATATGAATATGAGGAGGTGGTGCCTGCTGTCTAGTTATTCACGTGAGTGTTGTCGTACAGCAGTCACCGTGCTCGGCTGACACTCCGGGTTAGCTGTGGGTGTCGAAAGGCTGTTGTTATAGGAAGGGAGAATAAGAGTAACACCTAGGTATGAGGTGCAGACGAAGTGCANTACCTAGATATGAGGTGCAGACGAAGTGCAAGACACAAATACTGGGCGTACCAGTTAAGAAGTATAACAAAGTACGAGGTGCAGACGAAGTGCAAGACACAAGTACTCTGAAATGTCGAGGAAAAGAGTATATAGGTTTGAAAAGAAATAAACAAAGACTTTACTTTAAACAGTAAGCCGGACAGCAACAACCGAGTACTGAGACTGATGAATGACACAAGGCACTGGAGTCGACTGACCACGATGGTCAGGTCTATTGGGTTTTTATAATAATTACACCTATTGCCGATTTGGCAATAAATATTATTTGTTAATTCATCAGTCTCAGGCAGCGGATGTGCTGTCTGTATTTTATTAAAATAATTCTCACGATTATGAAAACGTGACACCATCACACTACAAAATTATGTCCAGAGGTTAAATTGCCTTTTTTTAAATAAAGTATACTACACTATCCTTAATTTAAGATATATATAAATGTGTCAGTATTTCCAGAATATTTTTGAAAGTTAAGTTGAAAAAGTTCTACTTTCTATACGCATATTCAAAATTTTGACCCTTCTATATAAAGGAAAATGGTGTGATTAAAAACATAACTATGTCTTTTAAAAGAGATATAAAATAAAAAAAATTGTATTGATATATAAGTTATTGCAATTTTATTCCTTATCTCCAGAGATCCCAATTCAATATTTTGTATTGAGCACTTTCAGGATTTAAGGACTAAATCTAGTTTAAAGTCGTTTAGCTCAATCTAAGAAATAGGCATTGGCAAAAAAATCAAAATAAGTTAAACTTTTTATTAAATTTAGATTACATTCATATAACATTTATAAAAATAAATGAACCATCACTGTAAGCCTAAAATACTGTAAACTTTATACAGTATTTTAATTAAAAAGTATTATAATATATAAAGTACTCAAAGAAAAAATATTTATTGATCTATACAGGGTGATTTTTTTATCATAACCCACTCAATTAAATATAGAATAATTATTAATGAAACTTAATTCGTTTATTAGATATAAACATTTAAAGTTTCAAATTTTTAAGTTAATATATGTATATTAGGGTGTCCCTTATTTTGAAAATTTTGGAAATTCTTCGGGCTCACCCCCCAAATTTATGTGTATACATATAAAAAGTGGCTACAAAAAATTCCAGGCCGATCAGATAAGTTTAACCCGTGCCGACTTGGTGTTGAAAATCGGCCAAAAGGGGTACTTTTTTAGTTTTTAGCAATTAACTCGTAAATTAGCACTCTCACAAAAAAAAATATTAAAACTAAATTGTAGATCTAATTGTTTTGTATAAATAAGTCCTTACAGTTTTTCTTTTAAATCCATTAGTTTTCTAGAAAAATGTCAAAATATATAATATTTCATAATATTGCAGAAATTAGCATATTTACGAATATTTTATCATATATGACGAACCATATGTGATACGACCTAATGTTTCATACAAAAATTGTTTAAAATTAAATTTTACGAAATAAAAGTATTAAGTACAAATTTCATTGAACCAATCGTTTTATTGCTATAGCTGAATTAACTCGATCATATTACGATTTTTACTAAATATATGAATTTTAATGCTAGATTCTGTTAGTTATCATCTGGTTCATTACAACACTTATCGTACAAGTACGGCGATAATACTATGGTATGACTGAATTAATGTATTGTTATTATTTTTAAATTATAAATAACTCTGGAAATCGTAAATTTATTACAAATCGCAGCAATAGATATAGTGAACTTATACTTATACCACTTTAGTCGCTCACATCGCGTATTAAGTTGAACTGCTTCCTATTGTGTTTTTCTTTTAGTGTACGTAAAAATGTCCGTAGTATTAAGAAATGACAATAAAATATTTTTAATAGGGTCTTTGACTACTCAAATTTTAGGTTCAAAACTTCCATCCATTGGACAAGTTCTAAAAGTTTTTTTTTATAACCTAAGAATTGTTAATCTTACTATAAGAGCAAAAGCAGTATTGACTATTCGCGAGTGTAATATTTTCTGGGAAATGGACGATTCCATTTCAACCGAAATAAAAAAATTAATGGTTGTATCCCTTAATAATGAGTCAATAATAAACCCTAGTAAACGTTTTATTCTTTCATCGAGTCATATTGACAAATCATTTTCAGGTATAATAATTTTTGATATCATTATTTTTTGATGACTATTGAGTGATTGATATTTTTTTTTAGAAAAAACTGTAGCTTCTTTTTTGTCAAAAAGCAGTATGAAATTTTTCAAACGATTCGATATCAATACTAATTTTTTAAATTTGGATCCAAGTAATTGGAATACTGATAATTTTTATTTACACGAAAAAGAAATTGTATGTTCACTTAAAGTAGTAAATGACTCTGCAGATAAAGCGGTTAAGGTAATGGAAGATTTTCATGAAAGTTTAACTGTAAACGATGAAAAAGCTGAGTTACTTTTACACTGTGTGTTCAAGAGCATAGAATATTATATCCTAATTGCAACAAAAAAACATTAAAACATAGTTTTTAATGTATATTTTTGTTATAATTTGTGAATTATTTTGAATTTAACATTTTGTATTTTATATAGTAACTTTTTTTTAATTTATACAATAATATTGAGAAGTAAGTATCATTATGAGTTTAAGTCAAACAAATACATCACTTTACAATATAAAGGAAATATATTTAAATTAAGCAATAAAATTCATATATTTAGTAAAAATCGTAATATGATCGAGTTAATTCAGCTATAGCAATAAAACGATCGGTTCAATGAAATTTGTACTTAATACTTTTATTTCGTAAAATTTAATTTTAAACAATTTTTGTATGAAACATTAGGTCGTATCACATATGGTTCGTCATATATGATAAAATATTCGTAAATATGCTAATTTCTGCAATTTTACGAAATATTATATATTTTGACATTTTTCTAGAAAACTAATGGATTTAAAAGAAAAACTGTAAGGACTTAATTTATACAAAACAATTAGATCTACAATTTAGTTTTAATATTTTTTTTTGTGAGAGTGCTAATTTACGAGTTAATTGCTAAAAACTAAAAAAGTACCCCTTTTGGCCGATTTTCAACACCAAGTCGGCACGGGTTAAACTTATCTGATCGGCCTGGAATTTTTTGTAGCCACTTTTTATATGTATACACATAAATTTGGGGGGTGAGCCCGAAGAATTTCCAAAATTTTCAAAATAAGGGACACCCTAATGTATATAATACACAAGGTATTACAAATACAGGTAGCTAATTGGTTTTTTATGATATTGCTATCACAGTCACGGATTTTTTATTATCAATTATGACTATCAATAGATATACTTTTCGTATTGTCAGTTAGTGTATTTATAAACTCACAACAATGTACCTTACTATCATTGATAATAACAATGCTGTGTACCTGCTAATATCGATGTCATAAAAAATCAATTAGCTACCTGTATTTGTAATCCCTTGTGTATTATACCTATATATTAACTCAAAAATTTGAAACTTTAAATGTTTATATCTAATAAACGAATTAAGTTTCATTAAATATTCAAATGCCATTTACTATTGAATTAAAAACTCAAACATTTTATTAAATTAAAAATATGTGTTACTATTTAAAAAAACAAAGTTGACACCCTTACCAGGCATAAGGGATGAACTGAAAAAGTATTACATAGTTAATAATTCAAGAATAATGTGTAACTAAAGATAGTAATAAAAAAAAAATTTTTAATTATTATTATTCTGTAAGTAATTGAGTGGGTTATGATAAAAAAATCACCTGTATACTTCTCAAAAAATTATTATTATTTATTTGAAAAATAAAATAAAAAATTTTAACACAATGGCAAATTTTTAACTGTAGTATTTGCACTTGGCAGATAAAGTGTCAGGAAATTTTTTTTTTTATTTACCTAAAGTAAATGATATAAGGTTTAATTTAACATATGTTTATAGGAAGTAATATTTCTGGACACATTTTAGGAGGTTATGTTGAAAAAGTTAATTCTTAGTACAAAAATTTATTTTTTGAATACCCGTGAGCATGCTAATGATTTTCAAAAAATATATATACCGAAATAAATGGATATACCTAAGATATTTTTAAAACAAAATTTTTTATTCGTCCATTTTTAAAAAATGTAAAGACACTTTTGAGAAAGAAAAGTTTAAAAAATATCGAAAAATCTTCATTTTTTTGAATATTTCCCCCATTTGTGAATAGAAATTTTTTAACTTTAAAAGATAATGTCTTTAATTAGATACTCTTTGATTTTCTTACGTATTCTTCATCAAAATAGGTTCAGTGAGAACTGAGAATAAGTTGTAAAACACATCATACTAAAATTAACTTCTTCTTAAATACGTATCGTAGTTAAATTATATTTTTAAAATTATTATTATTTTAGGAAATTTAGTAATCAGTGATATAAAAAATCAATCACCTCGTAAAATTATTCCCTGATAGTTTTTTTTAAAAGCAATATATTTCATATTAAAATATTGCTACATAAAAATTTATGTGGTGTTACATTCATTGTTTAATTGTGAATTATTAATCAGTATTTCAGAAGTTTTTCACATATTTATATCTAAGAGAGAAGGAGAATAGAGTTAGGAATAACCAGTGATAAAAATAGCAGTACTCACTTTTCACCTCCATTCATTACTCTAAATTGTTTATAACTTCCAAAAGTTGTTATCGACCACAGTCTTTTTCCTAATTAGATCATTATCTAATAAAAAAACTACATAGTTAAGGGTATTGTCGTTTGAGTGGTTTAATTAACACCCTTATAAAGTATAAGGGATGGACACAATTAAAAAATATAAAAATTGAGAAAAACATTGAACTAAAAAATAAAAATATTTTGTTTAACTAATTAAATATTTCATGATAAGTGAATCACCCTGTAAATATTTTTAACTAAAAGAATAAATATTACAACTGTCCTCAACACTTGGTTATTTGTAACATACCTTGGAGATAATGCAACGTATCTCTTAATTAAATTTTTAATTAATATAAACCCAGCACAGTGGAGATGTAACATAGTGGGAACAAAGCATAATTGAGACAAGTATAGATTGTTATCTGACCTGAAACTTTATCGAAGTTAATCAAATAAATGAGACGTATTGGCTTACATTCGTCGATAATGCAGACAGGGCGTACCTATTTGCGGGAGTTTTTTGCATTCAGTTTGTTTCAAAAACATTTTCTTTGAGATAATTGCTATTGGTTGGCGCCACTTTTTGTTAGTGAGTAGGACTAAACAAGTAGCGAACACGAGGCTTTTTTGCAGGAAGCAAACACTTCTGATGATTATGTTTCGAAAAACAATAATTCAACTTTTAAATAATTAATTTTTATCTTTTATTTTACCTGTTATTTAATAAATTTATAAAATTTTAACATATTATTTTGCAGATGATAATTGCAGTTGTCAAGAAGAATTTATAATTAGTAAATATCTACAAACATTATTTTTAAAATAATTGTTATGAAATTTATAAATTTATAAATATATTTTACTTTGTTAAAAATTAAATAATTATTTGAATTTGTCAATAATTTAAAAAAAATTTTGGAAGCTGTTTCCGAATAAAATTTACTACTCTTGAATTTTTTGTAACATTGATTGCCAACGTCTTATTAATAAAAACTGTTTAATTTTATTTTTCGTGAAAACATAGAATTTTTTGGTCTTTAACGTTTATCTCTATAAATATTACAGATACAAAATATTGTATCTAAGAAAATATTTTTAAAAACTTATGCATAAAAACCCAGCACAGTGGGGTTGCGGCACAGTGGAGATGTGGCATAGTTGGGTCAAGTATAATGATATCTGACAGTGATTAAAATCACTATCATAAAAAAACGCTTCGATACAAATCTGTAGATAGTGTTTAATTTAAAAAAAATGATGGATTATTCCAAAAGCTACTTGATCTCCTATTTCCTTATTTATATCCAGATTAGAAGTTTTATGATTTATAAGTGTAATATATGAATCAATAAATATCTATATATATTTATAATATATATATATATGGAAATGGTGTTATTTAAAAAAAAAGTATGTCGAATGAAAGAGGGATATAAATAATATTTCTCATAAAAAAATTGTATTGATCCATAGATTTTTCAATAAGTTATAGCATTATAAAGTTAAAAATGTAAAAAATAAAATCGAGAATTTTCACACAAAAATAGCATTTGATAACTATTTTCATCATAAAAACAAAATAAAGTCTAAAATTTTTTTTTGCACAATAAAGTATATTACATAAGCTTTAATTTAAGGTATATATAAAAGTTTCAGTATTTCCAGAACACTTTCAAAAGTAAAAGTAAATTTTTTGTGAAAAACTTGTCATTGTAAATCTCTTTTGTGTGCGGGAGAAGGGATTTATAAAAAAATATACCAAATGATCAGGAAAGACATCATGCATCTATAAAAAAAAATTATATTGATATAGTCATTACTGAAAAAGTTATGACAGTTTTAAGCAAAAAAACTTGAAAAAATTTCGAAAATTAGCGATTTTTAAATTTGTAATAACTTTGAAGATTTCTCCCATTTACGGAGGGTAATTAAAAAAATTTAAAAAAAAAGTGAAAAAAATGACAAAATTTACCAATTTTTAAATTTGTAATTTTTTTGGAGATTTCCCCCATTTGCGGGGAACGAGGGTAAATTTTTATAATTTTTGAGTGTAATGTCTTCGACTAGATACGATTTGTGATATTATAACGTATCGCTGAAAGAAATCGGATCGATGAGAGCTGAGAAAAAGTGGTAACAGACACAAAAAAATAAATAAATAAAAAAAAACACATTATGGTAAAATTAATACCTTCTCAGCTTCACATTTAAGCTAAAAGAAGCTATGGGAAAAAATTAAATACAGATTGAAATAGATGTAAAAATGGGTTTAGAAAAGTATATTATGTTCTCTAAGTGAAATTCTTTATTGACTAGTGTATTTATTCATAATTAACAAACAATTTTTTAGCTCCAATGCAAAGCTGAGAAGGTATTAATTTTACCATGATGTGTTTTTTTATTTATTTTTTTTTATGTCTGTTGCCACTTTTTCTCAGTTCTCATCGAACGGATTTCTTTCAACGAAACGACAAAAGATCACAAATCGTAACTAGTCGAAAACATTACCCTCAAAAATTGAAAAAATTTCCCTCGTTCCCCGCAAATGGGGGAAATCTCCAAAAAAATTACAAATTTAAAAATTGGTAAATTTTGTCATTTTTTTCACTTTTTTTTTTTAAACTTCCATAACTTTTTTAAAAATGAACAAATCGACATAACATTTTTTTATACTAAATCTTAGATATTTACTTTTCATTTGATATCATTTGTTTGAAAATTTAACACATAACCTGCTCACTGAGTGTGATTTAAAATAGTAACTTTTTTACAAAAACTAACTTTTTCAACTTAATTTTTGAAAATGTTCTGGAAATACTGCGTCCTTTAAACAAATATCAAATTAAAGCTTATTTTATGAACTATAAAACGAAAAAAAAAAATTTGTCCCGACACTTTATCTTCTGCATGCAAACGGCTACCGTAGATAAAAAAAACCTCGCACATTGGGGACGTAGCATAGTTGGGTCCAGTATAGATTTAATCCGACAGTGATTAAAATAACTACCAAGAAACGCTTTCCTTGCAAATCTGTAGATAGTGTTTAATTCTAAGAAATTGGTGGATAATTACAATAGCAACAACAACTATTTCCTTAATTATATCCAGATTAATAATTCTTAGATTCAAAAACATAATATAAAATTTTGTATTATATAATTGTTAAATTAAATTGTTTTCAAATTATTATTGATTTTGATTTTTAATATGTTAAAAGTAATAATTTTTAACCTTCTTTATTTCGTCCTTTAAAGTGAAAGTTTATAATAAAACAAAAAAAAATGAATTTATTTCATAACTTTTAGCTCAACTTGCAAGTTTGAAATTGACATTATTAAACAGAAAAAAATGAAATTCTTAAGATTAATATGCAATCAGGAAATTTTATAATTACTATTTACAGTACATTTATCAGAAAAGTTCGATTTTTTTTTACATTTTTATCGTAATAGATCACTTAAATAAAAATCATAGTAATAATTTCTAATTAATTTTTGGTGTTTAAAAAGATTCTACAATGGAAATAGTCAGAACTTAATTAATCATAACGATTTACTTTAACTAAAAGAACCAATAAAAAAAAAGTTGTTAAAAGATTTACTCAATTGAGCGTATTATAAAATATGATTATTATTGTAAAAATCCATCGTTAAATTTAGGTGAAACTAAAAATCATTTTTTTTTTTAGATTTATGATTTATATAGCAACATGTTACGAAAAAAATTGGAATGTTATAGACTGGTAGTAGCACACACAAATAGAGTAAAAAAATTAATAAATTTCAAAGTAAAATTATATAATATCAAATCTAATTCGACAATATATTTTAAAAATATTAGAAATGTATGATTTTAATTGTTTGTATGAAAAAAGCTGGTTAAGCTACTTTTTATTTGAATAAGGAATTTTTTAAGGGTAATATCTTCAACTAAAGACGAATTGTAATCATTTGACGTATCGTTGATAAAAGTAGGTCAAGTGAGGGTTGGCAAAATAAATCGTAGCCACAAAAAAACCACATAGCAAATAATATTAACATGAATAAAAAATTTCTTCTCACGAGGTGAGACTATAGTGATGGGATCCTGATATTTATTTAAGTTATTGATTCTTAATGAGATAAAAATCAAATGATTTGAAAATTATTTTCTAACTCAAAAAAAAATGCAAAATATTAAGTCACTGGCGGATGTGAACCTCGTACACTTAACAGACCCATAAAATAAATAAATAAAAAAAAAACACATAATAACATTAATATCTTCTCAGCTTCGCATGGAAGCTAAAAAAAATGTTAAAAACTTTTAGCTTCGATGCGAAGCGGAGAAGGTATTAATTTTACTATGATGTGTTTTTTTTTTTTTGTGTGTCTGTTGCCACTTTTTCTCAGCTCTCACTGGACCGATTTCTTTCAAAAATACGTCAAAAGATCACAAATCGTATCTAGTTGAAGACATTACCCTTAAAAATTGAAAAAAA